TCATTATAAAATTATAAATCGATCATTTTTTTTATCTTTTGTTATATATATACCAATTTTAACATTCTTGGTGGGACACGAATTTAACTTTGTTGCTTTTATAGTAATAGATAGAATGATCAATAACACAAATTAAGCCAAGTTTCATAATAATTAATTTGGACCAACAAAATTTTATTAATGTTAATTATATTTAATTTAACATCTATAAAGACAATTTTTCTTTATTGTCGACATTTTTTTTAACTTTCTTTATTTTTTAATTTTTTTAATCGTTTTATTTATTTTTCACATAATAATAAATTCAAAAAAATGGTTGCTGAAGCTATAGACTATAGAGTTTCTAGAATTGTGATTTTATGTAAGGATTGTGGTCAGGATGCTGGACTCTATCCTGCCAGACACAAATGTGGTCAATTAGACCCGCATACTTTACAAGGATTTGATATACAAAATAGTAATGATGAAGGTATCTGGGGAAAGCTTAAAGCGATTCAAGGTGCTGCTACTAATATAATTACTACCACAACCACAAACACGACAAACAATAACACTAACAACATCAATAATGTGGGTAAGTCAATTATTTTATAAATAATTATCAAAAATTATATGATGGATAAATATTATGGATACTAAAGTTTTTTTATTTATTAATTAAGGAAATTCAAATTTAAGGACCGGATTTTTAAATTCTACCAAGCATAACATCAATGAAGATTCGGATAACGGTAGATTTATATTGCAATATTTGATCATTAATCAATTATAATGCAATATTGTTTACTAACTAATTTTTCAAAAAACTAAATAGAATCAGAAAAAGAAGATTGGGAAGGCGAAACACATGTTTCTCGAATTTTGAGAGAATATTATGAGAAAAAGTCTGTTAATCTTCCTGATTGGTTATATGAATCAAAATCAGAAGTAGTAGTAGTAGTAAATGATGAAAATAATTCTCCCATTGTTAAGCGTAATAATAAAATTACAAAAAACGAAATCAGCAACAAGGATAACAACGAGAATGGCAATAATAATTCATATTTGCAAATACCTAATCATAATAAATCAAATCCAGTATCAACACCATCGTCATCACCTTCTCCAATATTCACCAGAAAAGTATCAAAATACCAAAATAATAGAAACCATAGAATATATGATTCAATAGAATCTTCTAGTTCAACCGAATCATTATCATCACCATCCATAAAATCCAACCCACCAAAATCTCCTAAATTACCTCCTAAATCTCCTAAAAGAAATACCCTTAATACTAATAGTGCTGTATTGGGATTTAACCACAACCATACCAACAATGTCCAAGCAACAAAACATCATTATCATAATAATCATAATAATCATAATCATCTTAATCATCTTAATCATCATAGTCATCTTAATCATCATAATCATAATAATAATAATCGGGTTTTGACTGGTCAAAACGTATAGAAAATCCATTTTGAAATTTATTAATTATAGATGCAAAAATGTTATTTCATATATAAATACGGCGGGCGGTGTAACGAAATTTTTTAGAATTTTTTATTCATTACTAAAAACTAATAAAAATTATCAAATAAAGCTTAAAGTCTGAAGTTTTCATGATACGAGGTTAATAATTCCTTCGCCGTTCTTTTCAGTAAATTGGAACTGACACAGTTAATTAGAACATTATTCGGAATTTTGCCCCATTCTTCTGTCATATATTGCTCTAACTCTGAAGACGTACGAATTTCTACATTTCTTTTAACAATAGCCGAAATATTTTCATTTGAATTTAAGTCTGAACTATTGGAAGGTCAGTTCATAACTTCAGGAAAGTTTTAGCTGAGAAAAGTTGACAAACTCTACTTGTGTGTTTCGGGTCATTGTCTTGCTAGGAACGCCAATTGTTTAAGCAATATATTGACCCCTCTTGCTTGTGATTTTGCAAAATATCAAGATAAAAATCTGCATTCATAATTTAATTGAAGCAAAAAAGAGAGGTTTCTCTTCGTGCGCAAAATCCTCTCCATGCAAATATTTTAGCGCGATTTTAGGAGTCTTTCGGACTGACCTTTCACCCTTGTACCATTGAGACATTGTATATCTAATAACTGAAAGGCAATTTCATCAGAAATAAAGTGGTCTCTCGATTGTCATTGAGGTGTCTAATTGACCAACTAACATAAGCTTTTTTGTGAGCAACGGTGAGCATAGATGCCTTTAAAGACAAATTATTTTCGTAACCCAAACTTGCCAAACAGTTTAAAACTGTCATATAGATACTTTGGTGCCAAAGTTCTTGTAGAAAGTTTATATCGCAGTGCTTGGTTCATACGTAGTAATTTGGGAGTAGCTATCATCTTTTTCATTCAAATTTTTTAGATAGTAGGCTAGTTCTGGGGATGGACTTCTTTGTGGTTTTGGGTATCTTCGGAGGATGATGACATTATGATAATGATGTAGGTTTTCACAAACGATTTAATAAACAGAAATCAAATTAACATTTAATTTTATTTTATTATTATTCTTTTATCATATTCTTATATACCTTACGTGGTTAAATCTATTTTCACTTTTATATTGAAAATTTGTAAATGCAATCAACATAACCAAGCCTAGAATATATTAAGTCAGAAATCCTTAAAGAAGATATCAAAGACCCTCAAGTAATTCATTGTATTTATATATTTCTACGGAAATCCTAATCAGCTCTTCAAATTATATTACCAACCAGAGGAACCAACTAAGTATCCTCGTCAAAACAAGACTTGCTATTTCTGCTGGATCAAAGGACATATAAAAAGAAGTTGCATGATTCAAGGGCTAGCCAAAAAGAAATTGGATTGATATTTCAAAGCCAACTTCATTGTAGCTATTGTAAAAAGCAAGGACATTTGAAAGAAGATCGTGATAAATGAATTAGAGAAGAAATTATTGTTCCGGTAAACGAACCATTGTTTGAAGAAATTCCGGATGAATTATCATACGAAGAGGATCCTTACGAGGATTAAGTTCATGAATTTTAATACCACACAACAAAACTCCAGAGAACGCAACCAGTTTCTTGTATTTTGGAACTGGATACAAGGGAGACATCAGACGATAGATTGTATTTTGCATACCGTCTATACCTTTGATTAGAAGAGGATCCCAGTCGGTCAAGACAATTTTCTTTAATACTATTAGTTGGTACAGATACAGAGAATAATTTTCTTTGGTATAGTAATAGGCTTTGTTGATTTAATAGGTTTTGTATATTTCTTTTTTACATCATGTACAAGCAGAATGCGAAATCCTATTACTATTATAAGATTCCGAGCATTCCGATAAAATTTTAGAGCAGGGTTGTGGAATTTCGCTGTACGAGAAGAATCTTTGTACGTACGATGCATCAAGAACAATGATTTTCTGCGTTGATAAAATATTACTTTGTAAAGTCCTATAATAATAATCACACTACTAAATTTTGATCCCTGAAATTCTGGTAATACTAAATGTTCGCTTTGTCTGGTTTTGTTACAGCATGCCCCATATTTCATTTGATCAACCAATAAAAATTGCCTTAAATCACATGATATGTTCGTACAATGTACTAAAAAAAAATTTAACAATACGTGTACGGTGCACGCCGCTATAACCCATCAAATGCTGCGCAAAAAGTTTCAAAATCACAAAAAATTTTTTATTACTTTCATTACAAATTTGATGTTAAAAAAATTTGAGGTAACATGGTACGATTAAAGATGTCAATCAAAAATAAAAATATTAATATGATTTTCTTTTTTTATTTTTTGGAAATAATGATATGTTCGTACAATGTACTAAAAAAAAATTTAACAATACGTGTACGGTGCACGCCGCTATAACCCATCAAATGCTGCGCAAAAAGTTTCAAAATCACAAAAAATTTTTTATTACTTTCATTACAAATTTGATGTTAAAAAAATTTGAGGTAACATGGTACGATTAAAGATGTCAATCAAAAATAAAAATATTAATATGATTTTCTTTTTTTATTTTTTGGAAATAAACAATAATTTCATTTTTGCAATATAAAAAGTTAAAAAATACAAGATCATCATCATAAGTAATGATTTTTTATTTTTCCCTAATTAATTAAAACTAACATATATGTTAAATTATGTATATTACAAATATATTTTTGATTTGACGCGTAAAAAATTTTTAATGTCAACAGCAAAATCTCCCATTACTGTTAAAGAAATTAAAAGCTTGAATCTTCAGCATCCGAGTAAGCTTGTATCTAAATTTTATATGATCATTAGGGGTACTTTTTAATAACTTTCCTTCCCTTCCTAGCATACTGGGGTCGAAGTCCAAATACCTGGGGTAGTTTAAGCGACTGGGATATTTATTTTATTGATCAGATACCTGGATGCAGTAAAGAAGAAGCACATAGATCCCTGAGTATTGAACTTGACATCCTCCTTAGCAATCTATCAAAATCGAGTCGTCGTTTTACCAAAGCAAATGCCTTGAAAAAGGCCTTGGAGGTTAGTACTTCTTTTTGTTATAGGTGCATATTACCGTGCCCTGCAGTTGTGTTCTGAGCAATTTATTTGCACAAGGCAACTTGTGTTGTTGTCTGAAGTGGGAAGTATTATATAGTCTGGACTTTTTTAGGTCCCATTATATTATGCATTGGTGGCACCATTATTATTTGCTATTTTGCCTATACCCTGCAGTTGTGTTCTGAATGATTTGTCATACAAGGCAAGTCGTGTTCTTGCCTGAAATGGGGAAGCATATTATGATCTGGGTCTTTGGGTCCCATCATAGTATGTGCGGGCAATCAGTTAGGTTATATAAAGATTTTGATTAACTCTTTTTCACTTTTTTACCAAGAAATGTGATAATGATTTTGCCAACAACTTGATATGGAAAAATCATATTGAGAAATTGAAATCGCTTGCAATTTCTGACCAAATAAACAAAGTATGTATTGTTTTTGACATTTATTATATATTTAATATAATATGATATTTACTAATTCTTCTTGAATATTGTTAGCGTGAAATACAAAGTATTGCTATGCGAGAAGAAATAGGGTGTGCTGAAGAATGGATATTGGATAACAAGCCAGAAAAACGTAAAAAAGAATCAAAGATTGAAGAAGAGGTAATTCAGTTGAGAATATATTCACTGACATTGGATTGAACTAATTTTATGTTTCAATACTTTAGAATGATTTTAATGATCTAAATGAAAAAAGACAATGATTAACTAGTCAAAAATCAGAGTCTTTTATGAATTTAATAACAGATTTTGAGTCTTATCAAATAGATGATAAATCAGATACTCAAGAGAATCTTGAAAACAGTGAGAAGAATAAAGAAGATATTCAAGATAATGAGGTAAAAGAAAATAATTGTTTAATAATATTTGTGGTGTATGCTTTATATTTGAAAATTAATTGCATTATTTTAATATTGTTACTAATCCATTAGCAGACACCTTCAGTAGCTCCAAGTACCGCCAAAACAGATGTGGTTGTTGTAGTGTATAAATTCTTATCTATAATATATAATATTAGGAAATATATTGATAAATTTATTTCTTTCTGTAGGAATCAGATCATAAATTGTTAAAAGAACTGCTTGGCAGTAATCTTCAATGTTCAGAAAATATGAAATTCATTTGCCAACACCATAATACACTATATCCCGATGAAAATTTAATAGACTTACAGCCTAATTCAAACTATTTCAAGAAACTTCCTTTCAAAATTTTGGAACTATATTTTAAAGTTTTGACAACAAAATTGAGAATTTAATTCCACCTAATATTCACAAATTCCTGATAGAGTTTTTTCAGCAAGATTTGACCAGCGAGGAATGGCACATCAAGATTGATGATCTATGTTGTTTAGATCAAAGTGATTGGTTAATGGTATCTGTTATACGAATTTTGTGCAGAACATTACCTTTGTTGTAAGTACCAAGTACAAACGCTTTTGTGTTCACTCATAGTTGTCATATTAGTTGCGGGACATTGCAGATCAAGTGTCATTCAATATAAATGTTACATGAAAAAATTTATTGTCATCCACTTCAAAAAAAAAATCTCCGTTTTTCATATAGCAAGCGATTTTTAACCATAATAAATTTTTTAGAGCCAGACTGGGGCTTTTAACAATAGTTAAAAGAAAAGACTAGCTTAAATATTGGTTATTCTACGCCAGGTCAAAAGCGTTTCTTTTCTTCACACTTATTTTAAGATTATCGCTCAACCAGTATGCAGACTAAAGCAAATTCAGCAGCAACAGTTGTGCCAAACTGTTCCCTATAAAGTCACTTATAACGACTTGAAAGGTTGTGTTAGAAAAATTTTGCTTTTAATTATAAGGGACTGATTTATAAGGTTATTAATTTATTTAGAATATTAAAATTACATGGTCAAAATTTCAAAATAATAATAATAATAATAATAATAATAGTTAATTTATTGTTTGATAATTATGAATACAAAGAATTGGAGAAATAATAATTAACAATAAAGAAATTTATTTATTAATAGACCTTTGGCATAGTACATCAAGCAAGGTTTGAATATTTCGGAATAAAGCTCTAAAGGGTTGTGGTGGTAGTGATGGTAATGATGGTGGTAGTGGTGGTAATGATGGTAGTGGTAGTGATAGTAATGGTGGTAGTGGTAGTGATAGTAATGGTGGTAGTAGTGGCAATAATCATAATGCCATGGATACAAGTTGGTAATAAAAAAAATGAAACTATTATTATTATCATCATCATTATAACTTGCCCAATATAAATATATTTTGTTAATATTTAACTTATTCCAAATGATCTGATAATTAAAATATACCAAATACAAATAATTTCTATTTTCTAAAAATAAAATAAAAATATGATTGCGTAATGGATTGTACACTGTCAGATCGTCAGATAGTTCAACCTTTGCAACCTTCGGAAAAAGAAATAAATATATTAATATAATCACACATACACAATTAGCCTTCCATCAGGTGCTAAAAACAAATAAATATGTGTATATATAAATTAAAAAAAAATATAATTATAATTAATAATAAAACTGATTAATTTACTTAATATTGAAGAATATCCAAAACGTGTAGAAGGTATATCACCAGTTGTTGTTATCTAATATAACAAAATATCTATTAATATCTTTTTGGTCAAAAATATTATTACTGATGACTATATAACTTACAATATCAGACCATGAATTTTGATCAATATTATACAAGTATATTGCCTAAACATAATATGTATTATTAGAAAACATAATATTCTCATTCCTTTTATTCTAATCAAATAATAAAAGAGTAAATTATAATATTACTTGAGTTGCATAAAGATCAAGGTAGATTATATTCTCATCATCCAACATATGAAAATTGAAATGATTTGTGTTTTCTATAGATGGTCCACTATTACTTGGTGTTAAGGTTGTAAATATCAACTCTTTGGAATTGAATTTATATATATTTGGATCATTAATAGTGACTATATATGTGTTTCCATTATTATCTTGTGTATACTTTGTTTTCCCAACTTTATTTAACTGCAGCTGTCCATCAGGGGTCATTGGAATCCATGTATCAAACGAATTAGTATTTATTGAATAAACTATAGATCCATAAGCTGTAGAACCAGGTGCTGTTTTTAAACCTCTAAATCCAGCTATAACATAAAGTGTGTCACTATTAACTCCTCCTAATGCTAATGATGCATGACTAAATGGAGATATTGCTGATTTTGGAACAATTGGTTTTATTGGTAATGTTTGATTAAGCGAAAATAATGCGAGTAAATCTAGGTAAATTATTTGGTTTATAATTTTTGATTTGGAACGTCCACCAAAATAATATAGTCTATCATTTAAAACTATTGAACTAACATGATTTATATTCAATAATTGACTAGAAACAAAAGAATTGACTA